CTCCATTTGACTACCTGAATGAACAAAGGAAAAAGGCTGGACAACACACACGTATCCCATAGCCCCACCTCTGTTGCTAGGTTACTGCTGCCTTGTACTATACAGTAATTTCAACCAATTGAATCACCTCGTGTCACTGCTGGAGGCGGGGCCTCAGAGTGCTCCACCGTGGAAGGAAGTGACTCCTGTTTATCAGTGATATCATTTCCTCTTGCAATGTTGTGGCAGTGTTCCTCCTCCTTGTCAGAAACACACACACACACACACACACACACACACACACACAGTTCTGTGTGCTGTTATGTTCAGTCATCTTTCTTATGTTGAACGTGAATACATTTACTTTGTAAGTAATTATGGGACGTATTTCTTCTTTCNTTTCCTCTTGCAATGTTGTGGCAGTGTTCCTCCTCCTTGTCAGAAACACACACACACACACACACACACACACACACACACACACACACACACACACACACACACCTTCATTCATTACTGCTTTCCACAGCATCAATGGACAGATGGACCGATCTGTCTCACACTTGGAGCATTGTTCACGTTACCACTGGCACACACACAATATATAATCTTTAAACATTTTAGTTTTAATAGAAATAAGGTTTATTGTTAAATACCTGATTAAAATTACAGGTTTACATATCATTTTTAAGTATTTGCAAGCACTGTATTAGAAAGAGATTAAATGAAAATGATCCACCTGATTACCTTAGTTGCTGATTGGCTAATGGTTACACAAGCCAAAACATCGTTATGACATCATCAAGTGGCCAAAATCTGATTAGCTCACTCAGACAGGTTTTTATAGAAATGGATCAAAAAGAGAGAGAATCTTTGTTCCTGAAACTTTCAGAATCTCTTTCCACAGAGGGGACACATGTTGATGTAGAAGAGACATGAGGAAGAGGGGACACATGTTGATGTAGAAGAGACATGAAGAAGAGGGGACACATGTTGATGTAGAAGAGACATGAAGAAGAGGGGACACATGTTGATGTAGAAGAGACATGAAGAAGAGGGGACACATGTTGATGTAGAAGAGACATGAAGAAGAGGGGACACATGTTGATGTAGAAGAGACATGAGGAAGTGTATTTTGCATAATAGGTGACCGTTAATCAAATGTTGGGGAGATGTTTTTCAAGTTGCAACATCACACCGCTGAACTCAGGAGGAGGTCAGCGGTGCATCTGGATCACGGTAACACCGTAACTCAACCCGATAACCTCAGAGCAAACCACACTTTGAAGTATCAGGGGGGGCACGAAACATCTCTTTACGGTGGGTGAGGTGAGAACTGCACCCAAGGGACAAGTTCAGAGACGCTAATCTGTGAGACAAATTTCGAATAAAGAACTTTCTGGGTGATCAATCAAGCTTTGGAATATATTTCAGTCTTTCTCTCCTGGTGCAAAAGATTGAGCAACCAGTCTTGTCAAAATAAACTTGTTTTTTTTTACTTCTAATATATTCAATTTTATAATGATTAATTAATCTCTTCTCTTTTTTAGATGAATGTATTTTTATTTTTGTACTTATCTATTTACTTGTGTTTATATTTTATATATTATAACAGGTGTTTGCCTAATTTCTCCCTTGGATAAATACAGTTTTGTGATTGATTGATTGATTGATTGATTGATTGATTGATTATTGATTGATTGATAGATAGATAGATAGATAGTCTATGTAGCTCCTGATGGAAAGGACCAGGCACTAGAAAGTCTTGTTTTACCCATAGCTGAAAAATAAATGGTCCTTCACAGCTGCATA